TTATTTTAAATGTAGCATTTTTACTATCTAGCTACTTTGTATTGTGTTGATATATGTGAATATCTTCAGATTCATTTTATTAAATGGTGCCCCATAATTCTATGTGTGGCACATCTTTGATCTATTTTCAATAGTTAATTTAAAGATACTAGATAGCATGCAATTATATGAGAGAGGAATAAAGTAATCGTATCACCATGTTGCCAATAACATATTATAAATAACACAAACTGAGAAAAAGGGACAAAATTAGAATAATGAGAGGATAAAAAATTATATATGTGTATATATATACTGATTGAACGTACAATACAACTAAGGAACTCTTATTTTTTATAATCGACAAGAAAGAAAAGTAGAGTATTTTCAAAAGGCGGGCTTGAATTCAGATCTAGGTCCGGTATTGAGTGACCCGGCTAACAAGTTGCAAGGATTAAAAAAAAAAAAAAGTTTAGGTATAAAATTGGACTGAAAGATAAAATTTAAAAAGGGATAATGAAAACTTTTAGTCCTAAATTTTAATTGAAATTGGATTAAACTTTTAAAGTTGGACTAAAATACACAATTATTTTTTATTTGAAGGGAAAATAATTTCATAAGAGCTAATTGTGAATGATTATGAAATTTTAAGGACTCAATTTAAAGATCAAATCGATAAATGAAGCAAATTTAAAGGTCAAAAATTTCACAAGTGATTCTTTTTAAAAATAAAAAAAATATCATGTAATTTCAACAAAAAAGAGAAGGAGATTGGTATATTTTAGTTCAATAATTAAATATATTAGATTGCCACCTAATCAATATACTAAGTATATTAGATATTCTTCATGTAAATTTTCACCTTTTGCTGCAAGTTCAAAATATTTAGCTACTACGGCCAGAATAGGATCTTCTGGTTGGATTCTTTATTGGGAAAATCATTCTAAGGTCCCGTAGAAGCAATCAAAATACACTGAAATCCCATGAATTTATCAAATAGCTATCAGATCCCAAGAGACTTAAGGGTGAATAAGTCTGAAAGTGAAATTATTAATTTGTCCTCTACCATTAAAAAGAAAATCTTGCTTGAACGCAGATCTCACGAAACCTATGATCAGCGAGACTGAAGATTGATGCATATCCATGATTGTTGATCACAGTAGGATAATTTTCACTTCCCCATATCTATAATTACTGTCGTTGTCTTCATCTAAGTGAGGTGGAAGTGGTCATTTGCGACTGCAGTATTTCATCGCGCGACAGAAAACAATACAGTGATTGTTGAGCGAGTAAACAATTTCTCATACATTAATGATTTCATTATTGTTTAAGGGTAGGATAATGCTTTCTGGGTATGTCTACAATCATTTGATTTGCATAGCTAATGGGTATGGATTCATCTGATGCGACATTGATATGTTAAAAAATATCTGATACGAACAACTCTACATGTTGTCAATAGTGTATTCTTGTATTGTCAATATGCTATCGATAGTTGTCGATGCACTATATTGTGCAGAATGACTTGTAAGAATGCTTATACCACCGAAAAACATGTATTATGTTATGTTTTTTTTTCATATAGGGGACATTTTATATATTAATTTCAAGCATGTGATGCAAGCTTCTTTTATTAAAAAATCTCTATTATGAAACAACATTGCTTCTTGTCAATAGTGGATAAATGCGTTGACATTATGCTATGTATAGTTGTCAATACACTGTGTGTAATATTGGTTGACCTATAAGATGGGAAGTTCTTCTGGAGAACATATATTATATTTTTTTCATATAGGGAACATTTTTAAAATTATGACCAAGGAAGTATGCAATATATTAGGGGGAGTGTTAGAACAAGAACAATAAAGGAACAGACAATGTATGAATAGTTGACCAAAATGATATCATCAAATGAGTAGCACATACATGCTTTTGTTTAGCATGGCAAATGAGTAGAAGACCTTGTGTGCATGCATGTGCAGCAATTAAGCTAGTTTATGGCAATGTGTATAATTTTGTGGATGAATGTTACAAGTTTATCGCTCAACAGAAGATGTATGCCAACAACATGAGGCCGGTAGTCATACATGACTATCCATGTCCATAAGCATTGACGATGACAAATTTATTAAACCAAACCTGCTTGAAGCTACCAATCACTATAAGGCTTTTGGGTAGGCCAAAGTGTAAAAGAAGAGAATCTTAAATCCAAAACAAAAGGGTTTATCATTGTGCAAGATGTCATGAGACTGGTCATACCTCCAAGACTTACAAAAATCCTAATCCATGCTAGAAAATATCAGAAACAAGTGTACTTTTTTGTTTATGTATTTGGAATTTATTTTTTTATTTATTGCATCTAATGTATCAGCACTTATCAACGAAAAATGCATAGCTTGTCAATAAAGTGATAACTTGTAATCAATGGTCAATGGCAAGTAGTCAGTCGGTTCTTGTAACTAGTTAATTTTTAAAGGGAATTATTACACTTAATGTATCAGCACTTATTAATGAAAAATACAGAGCATGTCAATATAATGATAACTTGTAGTCAATGGCCAACAGCAAGTTGTCAACGGGTTCTTGTAATTGGTTGATTTTTAAAGGGAATAACAGCACTTAATGTATTAACACTTGTCAATGGTGAATGCATAGCTTGTCAATATAGTGATTATTTGCAATCAATAGCCAATAACAAGTGGTCAACAGGTTCTTATAACTAGTTGATTTTTAAAGAGAATAATAGTACTTAATGTATCAGCATTTGTCAATGGTGAATGCATAGCATGTCAATATAGTGATAATCACTTCTCAATTGCCAATGGCAAGTAATCAATAGGTTCTTGTAGTTTGTTAATTTTTAAAGGGAATAACAGCACCTAATGTATCATCATTAGTCAATAACGAACGCATAACTTATCAATAAAGTGAAAATCACTTGTCAATCACAGTTGGCCACTTGTCAATATTTAATTAATAAAATAAACTATTTACCACATTTACAAACTTGTAATCACCATTCATAATAACATTGTTTAAGTTAACTACACGAAATAGGCTAACTATATAAAAAGACATGATTATCAATAAAGTTATATCTTAAAATTCTATCAATAATCTTCTATTTTCTCTTCTTCCTTTCCTAAGATCTTTCTAACAAGGGCATGGCTTTGTGCTCCTTCATGTTGTTACAATGACTCAATAGCCACCACAAGAATTCTATCTTCTTTAGTTCTTCTTATAGAGGTCATCCTACATCACAAGTCATTCTTATAAGGTATAACAGAGATTTTGCAATAAAAGAAGCTTGCATCACATGCTTAAGAGTAATATATAAAATGTCCCCTATATGAAAAAATATAACATAATACATGTTTTTTGATAGTATAAGTATTCTTACAAGTCATCATGCACAATACAGTGCATCGACAACTATCGATAGCATATTGACAATACAAGAATATACTATTGACAACATATAGAGTTGTTCGTATAAGATATCTTTTAACGTATCAATGTCGCACTAGATGAATTCATACCCATTAGCTATGCAAATCAAATGATCATAGGCATACCCAGAAAGCATTATCTTACCCTTAAACAATAATGAAATCATTAATGTATGAGAAATCGTTTACTCGCTCAACAATCACTTTATTGTTTTCTATCGCGCGATGAAATACTATAATTGTGGATGAACACTCCCATCTCCTTTAGATGAAGACAACGATAGTAATTATAGATATGGGGAAGTGAAAATTATCCTACTGTGATCAACAATCATGTATATGCATTAATCTTCAGTCTCGCTGATTATGGGTTTCGTGAGATCTGCGTTCAAGCAAGATTTCCTTTTTAATAGTAGAGGACAAATTAGTAATTTTACTTTTAGACTTATTCACCCTTAAGTCTCTTGGGATCTGGTAGCTATTTGATGAATTTATGGGATTTCAGCGTATTTTGATTGCTTCCACGGGACTTTAGAATAACTTTCCCTTCTTTGTTTCCTTCATCTTGTTGATGTTTGTGTCTTCTTGAGAAAAGTCCCTTTTCTAAGTGGTCCATGAGGATGAGTTTTTAAAATCCTATGCCACTATGGCAGATTGTTTGATAATTCCGATAATATGTTATCGATTCATTGTACATTGAGTTGGATTTCTTTGAGTGTTGTCTACATGAACTGAAAAGGCTTGGCTTGGGCTTTATGTGTTTTTTTTTTTTGTATTTCTGTATCCTGTATTTTTGAATTTGGTATGTTGTAACTTGTTTTGTCAAGTCTGTGTCTTTTTCTGATGTGTTTCTCTCCGTTTGGGCCCAAAGAAGTTGTTTCTTGGGAGATTAATTTTTTGTGATCGTTTTCTTATATTCTAATATAATTTCACTTTGTTTCAAAAAAAAAAATATCGTCATCATAACCAATTTGGTATGCAACACTAACGAAAGAATGACGGGAAGAGAGAGACGAAGCAACAATAGCAAATGCTTCATCTTAGCTAATCATTGATTTGAGAAAAGAGTTGTTAATTAATACAAATATATGACACAATTTAACCTTTTCCAATTCAAGAAATTGAAAATACTTATCATTACAAAATTTCCTTATATGTTACAATTAAATAATTTGTATTCACCCACGCTCACTGTTCCCAAGTTGGATGCAATAAGTGTTCCTGTGTAGTTATAAATAAGTTTGAGTTCTCAGATATACAATCACGTTAAGCAAAAAACCAAAGGAATTTCCAAGTTACCCGTGGCCGTGAGGCTATTGTTTATAACAACGAGAGCCCAAACCCAGTTGGTGATGGAATAAAAAACATAAGCTTGCACATATGAAAATCTTAAAGAGAATGAACTTGATGATGGCTATATTTACATAAAGTATAAAAGAAACTGAAATACAGATACTAAACATACAATTAAAACCAAAAAATAGACAGATTATAAAATATTTGCTATTGACAGAGTCTAAAAACCTATATCATCACTGTCTTACATTTTTGCTAAAAAAAAAAACGACTACATTATTTGCCTTTTCTTGTGTTTATCATAATCAAACTCTCCACATGATGTCCAACAAAGTCACTAACAAATCTCTCATGTCCAACCCACTTGACCAAATGTTTCTTAGGGTCTAACAAAACTATCTCACCATTGTTTCTCTGTAGAACTACTTCTCCACTACACTTGAGAGTCAACACTCTTGATATGCCTCCATAATGTCTTGCATCAAAACAATACCTAAGATTCCACGAATCTGCATCTCCACATTCTGTCATCACCCATATTCTAAATGACTCTGAATATGTCGCATAAACCACAACAAGTGAATCATTGCTTCCATACAAAAAAGATGGTTTTGATGTCTCATCTCTTGGTAACATCAATTTTCCAAATATCTCTTCAAGCAAATCAAACGTTAGCATAAAATACCGACAATATCGATTGTTGTAGGAAGCACGAACCAGCCAATGCAGTACACCTTTGACACAAACTTGCTCGCGTCTAAATCCCATTCCATGGATGAAAATGGAAAACAATGAAGAAAGAGCTTTATCGTGCGATATGTTTCTCCATTCATTGGAAGCAAGAGAGAAGATACCAACTTGTGGATCAGGATAAGCTTGTGCCTTGTAAACAAGTTCGACAACCTTAAAATCATTGTTCTTGGGGTCAAACCCAAACCCTAGCAAACTATTTTTCTCCATGAAACGCGGTTTAAGCCTAGTTAAAGTGACATTATTGGGTTTCGGAAGCGCAATATATCTTCGAATAGACGGGTTCATGATTATGATAGTGTGGTCAAATACTATGGAACCGTCGACGCAACATACTAGTCCATTGCTGGTGCCAACCACGAGCAAGTCCATGACATGACTCAGAGGGGATTTGAAAGTTGAAAAGTGATTATCTGAATTTAATATTGAGTGAAAAAACCTGTCACTTGACTTTTCTAAGTAATAAAAGTGAAAAAAGAGAGAGTGATTGCCATTGTTGGATTTCGCAATGCTATTTTTAAGATGAGAGTCTATGAAGTACTGATCGGTTATGAGAGATTTCCAAGCTTTGCAGACACAAATGCATTTGACTAGTGATTTGACAGATGATTTATAGAAGATTTTCTCCCATATCTCTAGAGGAAAATAGTAAGACATAGCTTCAATGTCTATATATACGTGTGTATATATATAATCTCCGCCGGCTGCACAAAAATAAAAAATAAAAATCAAACATAAAAACAGTAAATATGTAGCTTGTTTGATTAAAAAAAACAGTTTTATGTTTTTAAGAATAAAAGAATAAAAAAACTTGTTGAGATAAGTGTTTCGAATTTAATATGTTTCCAAAACTATTCTTACATTTGACCAAAAGAAAAACTATTCTTACATTATTAAGTCAAGTGGAAGGAGATATAGTTCCTCACATGGTTCAAATTCTCATTCAGAAAGGTATCTATATTTAATGAATGACTGTGCCTTGAAAATTATCTGTAATAAGAATATATATGAGTAATAAAAAATTATTATCATCACATTTTCATTTTTTAAAACAGATGACTATTAGAAACTATTGTTAGTTATGACCAGTCACTATTATAAGTTACTGCTATTAATTAACAGTGACTACCCTTGTGACCAGATTTTCTTAACTCAAACTGTTCATATTAACATAATCAGATATATTCTTGTTTCGTTTTGTTCTAATTCTTTTGAAGCAGTTATGAAAATTGTACTACAAAACAACTTTTTAAAAAAATAATAGAAACACGATCAAACAGCCACTAATTTACTTGTTGTAACCACAAGTTGGCTCGTTGGTTTTCGTACCTTGTATATATTGAAAGCGGCCAAAGACGTTGCTCCTCAATTCGCTGAGATCTCTTCAATGGTGTGATACGAAGACTGAGGCAAGCATGCTGTTCATTTAGATTTATAAACGTCAGAACAGAGAAAGTCCAAGAAAGACACAGCAATATAGCCAAACGATTTTAAATTTTGATGTAGAAGGGAAGAAGAAAATCTAATCTAGTAATCTAATATCTATCAAATATCTAATAATCTAATAACAAATATAAAATCGGAAAATACAATATGAAAATATAATCGCAATAGGTATAACCACCTTGACCTAGAGATATGGTGCTCTTAAATTTTGATTTCTTTAATTATTGTCTAGATTAATTATTGCAAAGGGATATATCAATATATAATCAATATAAAAATACTCATATAGTATAGATAAAAGTGGATAAGTTGTTGATTCTGTACTTTGGATTTTATTTCTCGCAGTTATATATGTGATAATTAAAAGACCACCTCAACTGGAAATAGTTAGAATTATACATACTATGTTATTTAAATTTAATTTAATGTCCTCGATCATAATTTTAGGATTTTGAATGAGTTAGACATCAAATATTGTTTGAAAATTGAAATAAATCTTATTTTATTACAAAATTTCTAATAAATTAATCATATTTAACATTTATGGTTGTTGACACATTTAAACTAATATTCCTAATATCTTCATTTAATAACAGAATTGCTTAGCTATCCAAATATTTGTTAATGTTTTTTAGAGAGAATTACAATCAAGTCCTACACAGATAAATTAATTATTGTAAGGTTTATTGATAACTGAATAAAACTGTATTAACAACTGGTTGTGTTGTTAATACAGTTTAGTTTAATTGTTAATGAATCTTTCTTTAATGCGTAAATAATATTGTTTTGCCCCACTTCCATAGCGTCATTTTATTGAAATTCTAGCTGATAATTTCTGTTAATTAATTTCCCCCTTGTACAATCATCTATCAATACATAATTGCTAATTTGTTATCATGTTTATATAAATGTGTTACTTTTTGAAAAAATTGGATAGTTAATAATATATAATTAATATATACTTTTATCCAATTAAATCAAAATAAGTAAATTTTAAAATATTAATGATATTTATAATAGAGTTTATTATACAATATATAATATATAAAAAACTCAAAGGCCTTTATTTAATTAGAAGCAAGGATCTTAAATATATAAAACTAGCTAGTAATCTAAGTTTTTTATTTTATTGAATTTATTGTGATTTTATACATAATGTGAGCGTTTGATATATCCATTCATGTTGAAATTGGCACCAGAGAAAGAGTCAACCTCTGAATGTCATGAAAACATAAGATGCATTTTTTTTTAACTTTTGACTTTTAATAATAATACAACTATATTAAATACCTTTAGATTAAACAATTAAAGATAAAATTGAAAAAAGTAATTTAAATATTATAAGGTGTCCTACATTTTGAATTAAAAATTACTTCTAAAAAGTGTGTTACAAATTAGAATAGAGGGAGTGTATGTGTATATATATAGACACACACACAAGTATAGGTGAGTTGTCTTCAAATTCTAAAAGTACTTATAAAAATATTTATCAATCGCCTACCAATAAGATCTTCACATCAATAGTAAAATTTAATTTTATGACTTGGTGAGTTATAAGCTAAGTTGTTACTTTGGTCCAAGTACACTATTTCTATATTGTGATAGGTTTTGCAAAACTTGAACTTAATGATCATGACTAGGACTAATCCTGTAAGCTCTTATACTTGTTCTAACTTTCTAAATTTTATAATTGACTTCTTTTCTATATCTAATTATATAAAAAATAGTAAAATATTATAGTATACTAGAAAAAAATTACCCCAGACTCTCAGTGGGGCAGCTTGCCGTTAACTTGAAAAGGTTTTTTCAGTCAAAAAAAAAACTTGAAAAGGTTTTATATACATACAGAAGTCAAATATTGAAGCTTTACATACATACAATTTCTATAAATTATTATATCCTCAAGTCATCACACATTAATTTGTTGCCTTCAAGGAAGTAGTATATGTATGAGAAAAAAAAAAACAATAAATGAATAAGGTAGAATGACTTAATAGGCACGCCATTATCATCAATGATTCAGGGTTTGTCTTCTTTCTGCCTCTTCAGTTTTTGTCTTGATTCTGAATTATTTAAAAAAAAACAATTGACAGATGACAAATTAAACTAATTAAAGAGAAGTACACAGTGAGACCGATGATTCATAATCACTCAAAGCAATATATTTATTACACACACAATATTCTTCACATATTACTGCCAAATGAAACTGATTGATTGATACTGATACTGGAAAACTTGGCCTTTCTCAGCTGGAAATGAATCTGATGAGCAAGTACTGAAAATAAAAAAGGTGATATATAGTCATTTGCAAACATTATTAACTATTCAACTTTCTGAAATTTAAAGTTCATTGCTTGATATATTGATCAGATCAGAGTTTCAGATTATAGTCTACAAATTGTAGATATAGCTCTATCCACAAATTCACAATATATATATATAGAGCAAAAACAGAAAGCAAAAGCAAGCACACATCATCCATATCATATTAAGTTCAAAAACTGGATTTTATATACAAAAGAATACGGTTTGAAACAGATACAATAACCAAAGCCCAAAGATGTACATATGAACAGGCCGGAAAAAAGTAACTCAACATACATTAACAAAAAGTACATCAACCAGAAAAGCTAGCATGCATATTATATTCACACACACACACACACCCCGCTAATAATTAATCAATCCTGAAAAGTCATAATCCTCAACACTAATCTCTGGCTGAATGATCTGTGCGTATAAGGGGTCACTGATCAAGGGTTCTTCAACAACAACTTGGTGATGATGATGATCATCATCATCAAAAAGCAGTGACTCCAGATAATTAATCTGATTAAAATCACACGCCAATACGTCTTCAAAAACTGTGTCATTTAATTCTTCCGATGATGGCTGCACCTTGATCTGGTCGTTGTTTCTGAACAAGAATCCACCAAGGTCTTCGTCTTCCTCGTACACCATCATCATAAGATCATCAGTGTCATGGATGTTAATTATATCATTATCATCATCATGACAGAACTCTTCAGATGATGCTGTCGTTGTCGTTGTTGGTGCTTCTGTTGAAACCGAAGGTTCAACACTGATCTGAGTCGTCTGAACCTGATGATGATGATGATCAGGATCATGAACAGCTTTGGAAGAAGATGAAATTATTATCGATGAAGAACTAGGGCTTCCATTATTATTGCCAGTAAGGTCTTGAACGAGCTGCTTGAAGCTTGAGGAATCTGTGATGTACACCTTGGGTTTCAGATCGTTGATCAAGCTGTCAAACTCTTGAAGATGACATTGGTTGTGGTGGTGAAGTTTACTATGATGTTGACGATGATTATTCTTCGAGATTTTCGAGGATGCTTGCTGCTTAATCACTCTCTTTCCCATGATAGTTTCGATGAAGATGATGATGTGGGTCTGATTAACCTAGGAATTATTATACAGCTGGCTCTTGGTAATCTCGGAGGATTCAAATAAGTACGTCTTTATATAAATGTATGTATGTGTATGTGTGTGTATTATTTATTTGCGTGTGGAATATGAAGATATGCATGAAAATGGGAGGAAATAGAACAAGAAACGAGACATGTTAAGATAATTGAGATGCTGAAAATGATGTTTATTTGTTTATTTTCATTTTCATTTTATTTATTATTGGATATTAAAAATCCGTACCCACCTGCATACATGTGTATTTGGATTCCACACATTGTGTATACTTCTCCATTGCTACTTATGATAAGTCGGATTCAAATTTTCTGAAATTGAAATTTGTGAATTTGGATGAAATTTTTTTAATAATTGTATTCATGTTAGTATTTTTTATAAAATATAAAATAGTTTCTCTCTTTCTTAAACAGTAAAATTTCACATAAATTCACCAATATTAAATTTAGAGGATTTAAATCCATAATAGGTCACATTTA